AACAAAACAAACAAAAAATCGACAAAGACCTCAACACTAAAGAATATATTTTTCAACATTAGAAAAAATAAAAATTGAACAACAAATATCAGGATTATTACTTGTATTGCAAATATGTTAACATTTCGATTGAAATCATTTTATTATTTTTTCTTTATAGACAATTTTCAAACACGTAAAAAAAACTGAGTATAGTCTCGCATACTGCGACTTCGATCAGTCTTGTTTCATTGAGCAAAATAAAAGTAAATTTGAAAAAAAAAATACTCAAAATTATTTTTTTTATATGAAACATAATTTTCAAGTCTCTTTTTGTGACGTTTATTTTTATATTTGGTTCAACTATGCGGATATTACTATAATATTTTTTTAATAACACATAATAGACGCAACTACACAGCTATTCAAAAAAAAACTAAAAATCCATTTATTTCCAGTAAATATATATTTCATAGTTTTATGAAATGCAATAAATCAAGAAGGACTATTATATTGTACATAATATATCAAGTAAATTTTAATTATTAAATTAACTTCATGTGAATATAATAGTGATTAACTCAAAATTAAATACCTAATATTAATTGAAGTGGCTTTATTTGCAAAACTAGGTACATATATTACGAAACAGTGTAAAAAAACTGCCTTTTTATCGATCGACTTCACGTCGTTCTCGGTCATAATAAATCCTTGAATATTTGAGTGGGTGCAAAGAAAAATCGATTGTAATGAAATTGGGAAATTTATTGCAACCGTCCCCCAACAGGAAGTCCTCCCCTGATCCAATTGTCATCTTTTAGGGTCCGCAAAATATCATGGTATCAAAATTGTATAATTTTAATAGAGATTTTTTGATCCATTACATAATTTAAATGCATACCATAAATATTTATAAATAGATAATTTATAGTGAAAAAATTGCTTTTGTCTCACAATTTTACTAATCGTAGAAGACAATTAGTTAAACTAATGAGTTTTTAGAAAATTAGTCCTCTTTTTCCGAATTTAATTCAACTACAAGAAAACATATTGGGCATCCAATGGGTCACGAAATGTTAGTTGCCACCTTAACTCTTTGAACATGTCTTCTCCTTGAAAGGCAATACCATTCGATGTTGATTCAGTTGACGATTTTGTCTGATTCAGATAACTAAAAATTTGTTGGGTTTAGAAATTTAGGAATTTCTGGCACCTCAAATCGTCAAAAACACTCTGGTCTAAAGTGCTTGACAAGTACAAACATCTGTATATTTATTTGTAGCATAGCTAAATGTATATTTGTATCACAAGTACTTTATTGTTTTACTTATGCCACTGTTACAAATCGATATTTCCAAGATGTATTTTTACCTAAAGTTAATTTTATATTTAATCAATTATAATAAAGCACGAATATACTAATTGCATCGAAATTTCCGTGAACCCAGCAGGCCTGAACCAATGTTTACTCATTTTAAAATCAATTAAGTGCGGTAATTTGCGTGAACGAAATATATATATATACTTGAGTAAGGATTAACGAATTCCGGTCCGAAAAGCAATCGATAATTTTTCCGGCCGTTTATATATCTTTTTTTTAATCTCTCATTTAGTTCCCTGAAGTAATAATGAAATGTAAATTAATTAAGTTCTTTCGTTGTTCCATGAATTATAATATGTAATGTGAATATAAAACATTACATATTATAATTCATGGAAACTGGTTAAATAAAGTTAAAACCAATTATATTATACAGATGTATATCCCAAAATGAAAATAAATATAATAAATCAATTTTATCTTAAACTGAGTATATGTGACATCTGTGAGGACGAAATATCAATAAAATAATTTAGATTCAATTGCTTCTAGTTTTCTTCGCAAGTTGCTACCTTTTAGAAGGTAAGTGTTCAAATAGAATAAAGATGGCTCTCAGGAAACTTTACACTTCAATTTATTTTAAAATTGGATATGGGACTATTATCTACTTAATCACGACCGCTAAAACCCAAACCCAACCAATAAAGAAAATTTTAAATTGATTCAATTCAATTTAGTAGATTCAGTGATACGTAGTAGATTCTACTACTATTTCATACTGTGTATTGATTATAACAAACCTTGATTGTAATTATTCCTAATAATGAAAAAATAAATAACATCAAAATCCTGAACTTTAAACAATTATTATCTTCAAATCAATCAAAGTTATCAAATCTGCAACATTAAGCCTCAAACAAAATGTAAAAACTAAATGTAACTTGACCACCACCACAAATTAACGAAATAGAAAGAAAACCAATACTTATTGCTCAATATCTAAAAAATAAATATTTTTTAATAAAATTCCTTGTGATCTTGGTTTCCATATAGATTTTTATTATTGTCACCAAATAGCTTCTATTGCAGTAAAATCTCAATTAACGTACTCTACCGTACGTTAAATGATTGTACATTAATTTGATATATAATTCCAAATAAATGAATTTATGAGTTTTTGATTTAGAAATCGCAGAACGTACTCAACATTCATATAAACGTTCTATTATTCTTATTATTTGTAATGCTGTATTCATTAAAAGTAAGCAAAAATAAATAAAACATCTTATATATGGCAACTTATATATGTGCAAATATATCAAGATAGACATGTACGTTCGTACGTATATTTGTATGTAAGTTTGACCAGAGGGTCATAAATTATCATGTGCGTATTTTAGAACTTACCTTAACCATGTATATGTTAACCATCAGATTTTCTCCCACCTGTATCGGCCATAGTCGAACCAATGTTTTGACTTGGGACGCCGCGGAAAAATTCTGATATATTAAGGGTGCAGCAAACCGAAAATGTTTGGGAACTCCTACTGATAACATTTTAATATATGTTTAAAATCAGAAAAAAATATACAAGATAGAAACAACTAACAATATATTTACATATCTAAAAATATACATTTAAAAATTATTCTTGTGCAGCGATAAATTCAACGAGTGTTCTTGTAGGTCTTCCAGTCATTCCACTTATATAAGGTGCATCATCGCCTGGTCCCATGACACTGGCAATATCTAAATGCAGCCAATCGACCTTCTCAGGTACAAACTCTTTGAGAAAAGCAGCGGCCGTACAAGATCCACCACCTTTGCCTTTTCCCACATTGTTCAAATCAAACGCAGGGTAGTCAGTTACCTGTTTACTATAGTGCTTCCAAAGAGGCATCTGCCAAACCCTGTCACCAGTATTTGCACCTACTTCTTCCAAAACCCTATACAGATCATTAGAATTTGTAAAAACACCTGTCGCGGCATTTCCCAATGCAACGCGCATTGCTCCAGTTAACGTCGCAATATCCAATACCCATTTTGGATTAAAACTACCGCTGTAACATAAAGCATCGGCCAAGATCAATCTACCTTCAGCATCGGTATTATCCACGCAAATCGACTTTCCGTTCATTGCTGTAACTACATCTCCAGGTTTGGTTGCAGAACCCGATGGCAAATTTTCAACTAAGGGTATAAGAACCTTAACGTTCTTTTCAATCTTCAATGAAGCTATCGCCTGCAACGCTCCAACCACAGCTGCTGCGCCTCCCATATCGGCTCTCATTTCGTCCATAGACGCGGATGGTTTTAAACTAATACCGCCAGCATCAAAAGTCACACCTTTTCCTACCATAACATATGGAGATTGATCTTTCTTTCCGTTGTTGTAAGTCAATTCCACAAATTTCGGAGGTTCCACTGATCCTCTGGTAACCGAAAGGAACGAAAACATTTTTTTCTCTTCAGCCCATGCTTGATCGTAAACTTTAACGTCCACATTCAGATCTTTGAAAATCTCTTGAACGCTTTCTGAGAAAATGGTGGGAGTAAGTAAATTTCCAGGAGTGTCAGCTAGTTTCCTTGCCAAATTTTGGCCGTTCGCCTTAATACTTCCTTTCTTCCACAAACCATTCTCATTCTCTCCATTGGAATGCAAACGGACTTTCGGAAGATCATCCTTTTTAGTCTTGTATTCTTGGAACTTCCACGTAGATAATACGCTTCCTTCTGCTGCTGCCTCAGCATCTCCCATAGAATCCACAGAAATGTCCTTAACATCAACAGCTTGTAGAGCCTTGCATCCGACTAAAAATGAATAATAAATTTAAGTTGTACGTACATAGATAACAATTTACCAGTTGCTGCCCTCCTTACAGATTCCTTATCTTGATTGATTCTTTCAATCTGGTCAAAGCCTTTGTTACGTTTGCCCAAACCAACCACCGCCACTGATTGATATGTTGAATCTAAACCCCAAAAAACAAAGCTTTTCCCCTCTTTTACTTGATTTCCACATCTGTAAATCGAAAATTAAAGTTACATTAGAAAACGTATAAAAAATTGAATATCCCAGTAATAATAATAAATCAATAATTATGAATGAATTATTTGATTAGTGCCAACTTAAAACACATGTTTTCATAGGATAACCATTAGTTTATTATGAGATTATTTTTTAATTAGGTAATAATAAATCAAATATCTTATTATAATTTTAAAAACAATTATATAAATTCTGTTAAAAAAAAGGAAAAAATGGAGCAGAATGTAATACTTTTGTTTTCCATTTATTTCTAAATGTATCTACAACAACAATCAATATAATATACTTATAATAAAATTACAAATAATCAATATATGTTAAACTTAATAAATAATATGTTCTTACGTGTTTCCTTCAAATATATATCATCAGTTCTGATCAAGGTCAAGAATGCAATAAAACCAAAAAAATAACTAAATGAAACTCATGATCTTAGTTTCCTGACATCACATTAAGTAATATAAATATGATACTTTTGTGTATTTTTGTTTTGTTTAATTATAAAGTGCATCAAATTTATGGACAATATTAATCAAAAAATATAGAAAATATTTCATCCTTCAAAAATTATATCTTTATACATATTTAAAAATTTATTCACATACATATATACATATATCCAACAAATGTTTTATCAAAAATAAAATGAATTGAATAAAAATGAAATAAGTAAGGAGAACACTATGTTGTGCTTTATAGTACTTTTAGACACTTAGGATTGGCACATATATTGCTATGATAATTATCGCTAGATGAGCAGAAATCCATCGATACCTATTAAGATTGGGATAAAATGTTAGTAAACTGGACACAATTATTTGCAATATTTTCCTACTTTCATTTTTAAAATGTTTGTGCGTATGAATCTAATCTTTCAACGAGTAATTACCGATCGATAGAAAGCCTTAGTTTAAAAAAAGAAACGCGAAATTCTGATTGTCCTAAACATATAATTAACGGTCTAATTAAATCAGTTCTAAAACATTGATGGTTCCCTGACTATTAGCTGCTAAGATTATATTAGAATTCTGCTTCCAACAAACGGCAGAAACGAATTCATTCAATTCATCTTCCCTGCGTTCATGCTCCAAAACACCTCTAGCTGCTTCGAATTTATAACTAAATAGCTTCTTGCTCAAACCCTTATAGTAGACATACAGCGAGTTGTTCTCAGATCCGCATGCAACGTAATCCCCATCAGTCGCAAGTCCAACAAAGTTCTTCTCATTCACATGACCCACAAATGACCTCAAACAATATGGAGTATTTACTTTCCACATTTTCAATTGTGAATCGGTGGACGCGGAAACAATTTCCTCATTGTTGAAGAACTTTACATAACTCACAGCTTTCTTGTGGCCTTTGAACAACGTCAGCGCTTCTTTCATCTGTCTTAAATCATAATAATGAACGCAATGGTCGGCACTCCCGAACGCCAAATGGTATTGGCTTTTGGGATTAAATTTAACACAACAAATATTAGCTCTTGCTTCCAATGTTGCAACTGAGTGATCACTATTCAAATCGTACAACTTTACTTTGGCGTCATCTGATCCTGATGCAATAATCCTTGTATCGATGTTGCTAAAATCAACACTCCAGCAACGTTTCTCATGCTCTTGGAAAGTTTTGGTCCTCTGGCCAGTCGAAGCATCCCAAATGGCTACGGTACCTTCATAATCACTCGAAGCAAGTGTACCTTTGTGGTAGCTATTCCAAGAAACGCACGATATTTTTGAATTGGAAATCATTTCTATGCGAGGATAATGGATGTTAACACTGTCTGTGACTACGACCCCATACTCGTATACCTTAATCCTCTTAGTAACACCGGCAATTGCAAAAAATTCATTATCTTTATCAAATTCAATGCTAGAAACTATTGTAGAATTATTAAATAAATCGCTAGAGTAACTTAAAGTTGCTATAGAGCGTAAAGAACTAAATCTAGAAAATTTTACCAAATCCTCGCGGAACTCGCTCAAACTTGATGTAGAATCAGCTGCTGGTTTGGCAGTTTTATCAGTGTCTTTTCCGAAGTAAATATCTTTTGAACGCGATTGAAAATAACATTGAACAAAATCATCGAAGTGATCGTGCATCCTTCGTCTTCTCGTGGCTAATGACGACAAACCTTGTTTAGAACTAATGTCTCCATCAGATTTTCTCCCACCTGTATCGGCCATAGTCGAACCAATGTTATCAATTAGATCAATCATTTCCTGTTTCATCGCCACAGTTACTGTATCAGGAGCTGAACCAACGGCTCTTTCCACATCCTCCAACGTCGGACATTTACTATGAACTTCCTGCAACTTCTTCTCAACTTCATCAACATCATGCTCAATTATTGATATTTCCTTTAGAATTTGAGTTTTTTGTTCAAGTTTCTGATGAAGTAAGTGCCTTAGAAACTCCAACAACAACTTATTTTGGGCCGCACATGATTCCGCTTCCAACAATTGCTTTCGCTGCGTCAATACATCGAGCATCACATTAACATCTGGTAACGTCAAGTTAGCTGATTCACTGGCAAAAAACTCTCTTAAACGATCATTTGAGTAATCTGCAGAATTGTTTGTACCCAAACTTTCTAAACAGTTTTCTCTAAGTTTATACTTTTTAATTAGATCATTCAAAGCAAAATTTGGAAATACTTCATCCTTGATCAAATTACTCTTGCACTTGGGACAGCATTTATTGATGTCTATGGACTGTATAATGCATGTGTAACAGAATGAATGGCCACATTTGCTTATGTAAGCTTCATTGATCAAGTCTAAACACACAGGACACTGATATTCATGAAGTTTGTCTTCCATTCCCAGGGTGGCACGAGGACGTTTTTTGGGTGTACGGATGGACCCTTTGTTAATGATTGCAGAGCTATGTGATGATGCAGCACTGCTACGTCCATCACGACATGAAGCCATTTTATTGGGTGACAGTAGGATTTTTAAAAGCGAGGACTTAGTAGGAGACTGACCTGAAACATATTTAATTATAATATAATTAATCTACATTATCTAAAATATAGTTTACAACAAATGGGAGTTAAATGGATAACAGTAAAAAAAAATAAAAAATTGGTAACACAAGTTTAAATAGTTTCAGGTCTGGTCAAGAAAAGGAATCAAAGGTAACTAAAATATTACACTATCATTCTAAAAATAATTACAACTAGAAAAAATCTGTATCTATATATAAATATAAATACTAAGGACTTACAATTTAATGTGTTCTAAAAGTTTTCCACCTGATTTCTCATTGAATTTATGGGCAGATTCACTGAGCTGTATATTGTTTCCATCTGCTTCTTCTGAGTACACACCCAATACTAAACCTTTCTAAAAAAAAGATAATCAATCAATTAGACAATAAACGGATTATTCAAACAGTTCAATATTAATTACCTGTAGCGACGAGCAATTCCTTGTTCCAAATTGTGTAGAAGTTAACCTAAGAACTCTACCAGCACTTTTTAAAAAATATGACATTATGCACTTTGACTCGAATAATATATTTAGAGAATCGCAAAATGCTCAAATAATATTTATCTATTAAACTTATGGTAAATTAAAACCAGTCCAAAAAAATAAACGCAACGAACTGAGATTGATCCTTTTTTTGACAGAGCCACAACTTTTTTTCTTTGTCAAATCTATTACGTGGGTGGGAGAAAATGTCAATAATAATATTTCATAGTTCGCCCAGAGATGGCGCCTACCACTTCTTCCAATTTTTCTTTCTGAAAATCTCACAACGACCTTGAACTACTGTATAGTTACATAATGCCAATCTATCTAAACGACTACAATTACGTAAGAGAATATGTCAGATTCCTAGTTTTTCAAAAGTAAAAACTATTGAAAAATATTTAAAATTTTATTTATTTCCATCTCTTGTGCAAAAATAGTATTAAAACTTTTAAAAAAATATCAAAACTTCATATACCTCGCTGTTTTTTCAATAAACTAGGTTTATTTTATATTCATTGTTTTCTTGTTGGCATGCTCTGTCTTTTGTTTTGATATTGTAATATATAATATATGTTACATAACTTTTTATTAATATTATTGCTTATACATATTGATTATATCTGCAAATATCATTATATTAATTAAATTTTAGTTCAATAATAGTTAATAATTTTAAAGTATTTAAAAATAATTAGATATTAAACAAAATGTTCATTTGAAAAACATAAGATTCTGGTTGTATACTAAATATTTGGTTTAAATTATGCTTAAAATGCGTATGTTGGTACGCGTGTTAGAAACAATCAATCATCGAGTGAAGAAGAGATTGGACGAGTTCGACCAAGTTCAGCTGAAAATTCTGGTCGTTTTAGATTATATATTCTATAATTACATATATAAGTTTTAAATGAAACAAACTGGATTTGATTCTTAGAAAGACATTGCAAATTGGAGGATTTGTAGGTATGTTTATGTTCCATTAAAATGGTTGTAAAGTTAGATGACGCCACGCTCTATTATCACTGCTTGTTTACATCTCTTTCAGTTGTTTCACAAAGATGGATAGTCAACAGTTTTCACTATGTTGGGACAATTTCCATGTAAATATGAGCTCAGGGATGCATTCTTTATTAGAAAAAGAGGATTTGGTTGATGTTACTTTAGCCATTGAGGGACAGTATTTGAAAGCTCACAAGATGGTTCTTTCAGTGTGTAGTCCATATTTCCGCAAATTATTTAGTACAAACCCATGTAAACATCCAATATTCTTCATGAAAGATGTTACATATGAAGTTATGAATGACTTGTTAACATTCATGTACCAAGGTGAAGTTCAAGTGAATCAAGAAAATTTAGCAACATTCATTAAAACTGCTGAAGCACTACAAATAAAAGGATTGACTGGAGAAAATGTAAGTTTTAAACTTATTTACTTTCCATTTTTCAAGTATACAATGTTCAAATTGTTCAATTTAGAGAGAAGTTGATGATGCATTGAAAGAAGTTAACTCATTAAAGAGGCCTCCACCTTTTCCTGACGAACCAAGGAATAGATTAAATAGATCAAAACCAATCTCAGCAAAGAAAATAAAAACAACCCAAGAAACACAAGACCTACAAAGAGATGAGAGTTATATAGAGCAAACAAGTGATTCAATGCAATTAAAAGTTGAACCAAATGAGCAAGTGGAAGATGCTGAATCTTATGGTTGGCCTGACGATAGTTATTTAAATGAAACAGAAAATTTACCTGATGACAGTCAAGTTGATGAAGCTGAGGAATGTCATATGATGGAGGAGGAACCAAAACCTGGCACCAGTCTGGAAGGAGCAATCCCCAATCAAGGTATTTGGAGTTTTATTACATTTTATTGTACAGTCAGCGTTCATTTAATGTATATCATTTTAACCCTTTGCAGTCTAAACAATCATTGCTTTCTTGTATTTATGTATTTACTTGTCATATAAGTTTTGCGAAGCTCATCGCGTCGGACAGCAAAGGGTTAATGTACGTCGCATATAGCGCACACGATTATTTTTTGTCGTCCATACGCACGAAAATACGGTTTAAGTTGTGCGTGTGCCGTTTGTACATTTTATATATTCAATTATTACAATGGGTGTGTATTAAATAATGAAGGTCCGAAAAAACGAAGAACTATCACGTTTCAAGAGAAAATAAGAATAATACAAAGGGCGGAAAAGGGCGTGCCGTTAGCGACGATTGGGCGGAGCTTAGGTCTGAGTCGATCGACGATAAATACGATCGTGAAAGACAAAGATCGAATAATGAAACATCTAAAGGGTGGATTGAACGTCCTGAAGACATCGGCAATTCGAAAACGTTCTTGCATAATGGAAGAAATGGAGCGACTCTTGCTGGTTTGGTTGAGCGAAGAGGAACAACGCAATGTTTGCCCTGCCGTTATTCAGGAGAAGGCCAAGCAAATACACGAAGATTTAAAGAATAGCATGGAAGATGGTCCGGACGATGAGGTGTTCATCGCCAGCTCTGGATGGTTTCGAAGATTTAAAGTCCGATCGAAGTTACAGACTATTGATGGAGAAATCGAAATACCCAAGGATTGTATCGAAATTAAAATCGAAGATTTATCAGTTTAATGAGTTGATAGAAAATCATCTTATAAAATAGTTGATAGTTAATGTAATATACATTATGTTATAATTAGAAGATACTTCTTTCTATCCCGAACGTCATTGAGATTCAAATCAAATGTAACTTCGTTCCTGGACTCCTTCACTTCACTTCTGGAATAAAGCGACTTCAAGACGCAACATTATACAGTGGAACCTCTCATAACGAGCAAAATGAAATGTAAGAATAATGACTCGCTTAACGAGCGACGTTTCGCATAACGTGTGACGATGAGAAGAGAAGTCATATTATGGGAAATTTTGGAAAGGATTCGTTAAGCGAGGTTCCACTGTGTATGGAAAAGTTATATAGAAACAATATTTGATGTTGAAACATTCTAACATAAATAAAACACTGTGAATATAAATACACTATAAATATTAAAAACAATATGTTGAAGAACATTATGGATGGAGTAAATAAAATTTAGAACTCGACATATTTTAAAACTTACTCAAAACCAAGAAGTCCTCATCTCATTTAAATTAACTTATAATATACAAGTGATACGATAATTATAATACGACAAAAATATATTTACCATTGTATACATGTAAATAAAGAAATAAATGTATTATTATTAGTTTTTTAATAATTTTATATTATTTTTGTGTGTTAACAAAAACTAATCAATACGCAAAATGGTTTAATGTACATTCGTTTAGCGCACGGCGTTTTAGATAAGCGTAATTTGTACGTTAACTGAGCGCTGACTGTATACGTATTTTTTTTTGTTGCATGGTGCCTTTTAACTAAATTTCATCTACATATTAACATAAATATTTACATTGAAATGAAATTTATTTCAAATATATATAAATACACCAAAATGGTGACATTGAAATTATGTTGATGTTTTATGACATTGCTAATTGTTACAAATAACATAACTATTTTTATAGTTAAATCAATAAGACTATCGAGACAAATTTAACCCTGCAGTGCACGCGCGTGTTAGAAGTCTGAAATTGATGTTTGGACTTCATGTAATGCTTCATATTGTTTGTTTACGTAGTGCAGGTGTCTATTTTATAAGTCGTGATTTCGATTAAGTTTTTATTCTGGGATACAAGTATATTCCGTGCGACTTATGAATTCTAATTCCAGTTAATAAGTTTATTTTGGTAATAATGTTCCAGAACCGATAATACGCAAAACTGCAAATGGACGGTGTCATATTTGTCCTAGAAAAGATGACAGAAAAACAAGAAAATTTTGTACAGTATGTAATAAGTGGGTTTGCAAAGATCACCAGAAGAAAATCACCAGTTATACATTTATTTGTATTAGGTGTCTAAACAACAAAGACTCTTAAATATCTACATTATGGTTTTTCTTTTATTTTTGCATTTTGTTAATATATTTATAAAGTAAATACATTAATAAACATTCTGCTTCTTATTACCTTGTGTACTTTAAGCAAGTAATTAACGTGAGATACAAATGTATACGACGTAACAAATTCAAGCACGAGTACTGGAGGGTTAACTTTATGTCGACTAATTTACAAACAATTGTTACTTAAAAAGTAATAAATAAATACATGGAGTATATATTATATTACGCCTTTACAAAAAAAATAATAGTTTATGCTATCTTTATGCAATATTTGAATTGTCTAGTGTATTTTAAAGTATTGTGATATTTAATCGTAATAGTGATGAATACAAGTTTTTTATAACTTACGTACAAAACTATATCTAGGAATATGAACTATTGTAGGTATTAACTTTTTTTTCATCATTCGATAAACTGTGAATATATGCGTTATATGTTATCTTTGGAATTTAACTTGCCGTGATCAACGATCTCGTAACATTGTGCGTGCGTTGAATCTTAATTTATTTTAACACTTTAAATACGTGTCGTTTTTGTTTGTCTCACCGTTCAGTCAAACATTTTAAAGTATATCCCTCAATCCAATATATCATGTCCCATAAATTTCAGTGTTTTATAATTATTTCAAATAGTATTTGACTTAAAATGTTGATAGAACAAAGTGATACATCAAGTGAGTTATTTTTAGATGAAGATACTTCACAATACAATTCAAGACCTCATCAATTAGAAAGGAAACCAGGAAATATACATAAAATCAGAAAACGCTGCAAGGAATGCTATGTAATGAATGCAAACCAATTTGGACGAAAAATAGCTCTTAGTTGCACCAAGAAGGTCGTAACTTATTGTAATTCTTGTAGAGGAAAACCACATTTTTGTTTAAATTGTTTTAATAAAATTCATTTTTTATGTTAACACTTTTAACATAGAAAAAATTATATTAATTAAAAATTCAATTTTTGGAAAATATTTAATACTGGTATCAAAACTATCAAAATCATACAGATGCATGTTATTTTTTTATTACATTTACATGATTAAAAAAATAAATGGTATTTAAACATGTTATCTTTGTTTTTTATTATTGAATTAAGTTGATTCAATGAATGTGCTTTTGTAATTGTTGTTTGTTTGTTGTTGATGATTTTGGTAAACACATAGTAATAATGAAGTGACTTTGGCAGAATGTAAACGAAAATGGCTTAGCGGCAAGGAATTCATAAACGCAGCAGGTACACGTTGCCAACGGCCGGACGCGAGTTTTACCTGTGGATGTTCAAAGGCAGGATGCATGTTGGTTACTTTAGAACAGAAAAGAAATCACTTTGACGCATATCATCAATTGACATTTGATGAGCAGACGATGTATCTAATGCAACGTATTATCTTAAGTAAACCGGCCCGACGACGGATAACTACATCACGACGTTTTGCAACATTCAAATATAAAATTGATGGAATTGAGGTATGTAAAAATACCATCATAAATACGTTTGGTATAACACATAGGCGACTGCAGAGCCTACAAGGAAAGTTGAAAGAAGGTTTCGTATTCCCGAATCGTGAAAAACATAGAAGTCGATCGCACTTTTATTAAATATTTTTTAGGTGTTTTTGTAATATGTTTGTAACATATTTAATTGAATAAAGATTATTCTGTATTTCCAATGATATAATGGTTTAATTATATTTAGTGCTTTGTTTTGTTATACAAAGCATTAACTCAATAATTCGGTTATTAATAATTATATCAATTATATAATTTACGCAGGCATGGACTAATAAAAAACACAATTGCTCTATGTTATTACAAGAAGTATTTATTGGAGAAGGGACGTTATTTGTTTTGTTTGATCTAAAAGAGCCATTTTATAATATATTGTATGTAGTAGAACGTTAGATCGCCACTTTTGATAGTTAAGTTGAAAGCCGCAATTTCTCATTAAAGAACTGCATGCTCCGGAGCCGAGTGTTGTTGATCTCTAATCCAAGTAATCATATTAAAACCAAGTGATTTTAACATTTAAATGTCCCATACATTACCCAACTTTAACTAAATGACGAACATATTTTATGCCATAAATGCAACGATTAATTAATATATTATATAGTTCGACGATTGAACAAGGTCTATTATTTAACAGTTTTCACCGTACATTGGAATTAAAAATGTCTATTTACAATAATTCAAATTGGTGACTATAATTAAAATGTAATTATTTATTTCATTTACAATAGTTACAAAAAATGATGGACATTCGGAAATAAATTTTAACTTGTCCATATGGATGGACAAACTGTAGTCGTTTGTCCTTTGTATGTATGTAGGAGCATGTATAAATTAAATTATCTTTATTATTAAGCTCAAATAATCTTGAGATATTTCAACAGTTCTCTTAAATATTAATTAATTAATAATAACAGAAATAACAATAAAATGATAAAGCAAACAATTGCTTCTATTGTTGAAATTTAACAAAATATTTGTTTTATAAGAGAATATTTTTGAAGAGAAGTATAGTAATTATTGTAATACCTGTAAGTTACATCGTGGGTGGTTTAATATTTGTATTCAGATACAGAAATTTATATAATTCGAATTCCAAATGTCACTATATACAGTTCATAATTTATAAATTTACAAATGTATAAAGCAATACCAAATGTATACGCCAATATCTCGGACTGTTTGAACCGGAACTAATCGAGAAACTAAATAATATAGAAGTAAATTGAATAAAAATATACTTGTATAGAATCAGACCATTTTCTTGTATAAAAAATAACATAGCGTACTAATAACAATAATAAACAAAATGTATCATATACCTAAATACAAAGAACAATTGACTATTTATTTAAATTTATTCGTAATATAACATGGTCATTGGGCTATCGACCGAGGTCTTTCAGCCCGAATTTATTTTTCTTAATTAAAATTTAGTTTGTTTCGAAATTTTCAAACCGAACCGAATCGAAGCTGCATCGATTATAGTATTTTTGCTAACATTCGCATTTTTGTGATCTGTACAGTTTGAAGTTTTCCATATAATCAAGACAATTATCCATCTATTTATTTTTTATGAGCCCCTATGTTCTGTTTTAGCAAAATAACTCTTGTTAAATATATTAAAATAAGTGAAGGAGCATCATATTGTCCGATCCTGATCACCAATTGGTCCTAGCTCCGTTTATATACATTAACTTACACTTATTGATGCTTATGAAATACATAATGAAGTACAAAAAGTTAAATTAGTCTCTGTTACAATTTAAATTGAAACAGATTACAGCAATTTTTGAAAACTCAGAAAGTCACTTTGATCGATATTGTTTTGGAGGAATCTTAATGTCCAGATCACATCATCTAAGACGACAATGCATTGATTACATAAAAAATAATGAGAAGGAAAGACGAATTGTTTAGTACAGGGGTTTCCAAACTATGCGCTGAAAATTGAAGAAAAACATCTATTAAATTTAGCTCTGAGATAGACCAAAAAGGTTGGACAATACGTGTCCCACGGCCCATCAAAGAGTCAAAGGGTATATTTATAATCTGTATTATTTAAAAGTACCAAATAATACATATTACGTACACAGCGTGCGATTATCTCTAAACTAAAATAATTATAACTGCATGCAATTATATTTATATGTTACAAATGTAATAGACTATTTTATTACATTTTGTAATATATTTTGAATTGTGGTTTAAACATATATTATTGTTTACAATACTACTCAACAAATTAAATTTCATTAAATTTTTGGTCGATGTAGCTATACAAATGATTATCATTGGGAATAATCAAGTGGAAAACAGACGA